AATTAATTGGGTTGAATCTTAGTCAATATCTGCACCTAGACGTTGTCTGTTTGGTGACATTTACGGTGCTTTCTAGCAACAGGTGAACGTTAGAAAGTATTGACTACAGCTTGAACTCCCTTTCTACGTGAAATGTCTCTGGTGTCGAATCGTACAGATAACGATAATCAGGTCAATTTTAAACAGATTTGCAAAACATGCATGCCAATACAAAGCCCACTTGGTTTCGACTTTTTGATATTTTTACCAAACTCAGAAACTAATTAAAACCCCATCCACATCTAAAGTGGTAGTACAAGGGAAATCAGAGGACCAATCTGCCCTCTCAACAACATCAACAGCCAAGTCCTGTTTATCTGATAAACATCTCTAGTAGTTAACGGTTTCTATCCATGACAATCAAAACGCCATTAATATGGAGTTCGTCCTGTCAAGTAGTACTAAGGAAATCAGTTTTAAGAGGTTTAATAAAGTCGGCAAAACAACGAGTTATTGTGTAAAGGTGAGGCATATGGCGGAAGTTTACAATATTTCGCCATACAGTAAATAATAGTGATTGAATATTATTTAGAAGGTTGAACCTTTGCAAAAGAATAACACTAGATATTTACCTCGTTGATAAGATGAAAAATAATAAAAATGTCTATATTAATGAATGAATGAATGTGAGGGCAAACATGAATCTGAGAATCATACAGGTGGAATGTATGATTTGTATTTCGTAGTTATCACATCCATTCATTTGGAGTTCCTACTTTTGGACGCTTGATAGAAATTTAGCCGCAGTAAATGCGTGATGGGTCCAATTTTACACAGTGATGGATCAAGGACTAGGCTGAGACGTGGATAATTTCAAGAAGTGACTCTAACTGTTCAATATCGGTTTAGAACAGGCGCATGATAGACATAGTCCAGACTAGGTTAATGTTAGGTTCACTTTTATACGACTATCGAAAGCTCAAAGATGGCACCAAAGTGGAACTAGGATAGTCCCATGATAGAACAAAAAGTCAGGTTAAACAATGTTTACTGCTTCGGCCTTAGTTAAGAACACCAATGAAAAGAAGGTTGCCTAACTTTTGAGGGATCATGTAGGTTAATCATGTATCTAGGATAGAGATTGGTCAAGTTAACTACAGCAATAGATCAAGGATGGGTAGGTGGAACTACGATTGATCCAGAAGGTACAGGATGGATTGAGTTTTACCTTGAATGGTAATGGGATAGTGATAGGCATGCAAGAATGAGTCCAAGATAGCCTAGGATAGCTCCAGAACATGACTAGATTAAGTGAATATATCCAGCTTAAAGACATATCCAATAAAATACAATGGTTCTAGGCCGGGTCCAAGGTGGGACTGGATAATGCCCACTGTATGTTCCGACTAAGTTTATTTTCTTTCCAAAAATGGTTCAGAATGCGTCAAGCTGAGCTAGGGTGCAAAGATACAAGTTCAGGGCTTGTCCAGGATAGGACCAGTGTGTGTACAAGATAGCCCCAGTATGGGTACCGGATGGGTCCGCCGCGGCCAAACACGCGAACCTCGCCACTGACGGTGATAGCGAAAGTAAAATGAAAGGAGTTTGTGCGGTGAAAGCGGTAAAGTGACGCCAACAGTGAGAGAACGTCTGCAAACTCCTCAGTTCGGAGTGTGGTATAACGGCAACAGACTACAGCGAGCGCTGTGGGAGATGGACCTGCGAGAAAGAGAAGTGGACTGAAACTGCTTCCCTGTGGAGGCCCATGATGTTACAAATCGCTATGCTAAACGGTTGATTGTTTTTAAAACGGTTATTATCTTGTGTGCCTGAGATACTCGGTAGAGGAGTCAGGTATTTCGAGAGGAAACCCGAAAATCCATCGATCTCTGCGAAAACCTTGGTTACTGACCAAGAGAAACTGGCCTGGGCAGGAGGACCCTAGCAACCAATCGTAATGCAATGTTCTAAATCATTTGTATTTTTTTAGATATATACACACACTTAAATATATTTTGAGCTAAATATATTTGTAAACCATTCCTATTCATGTGGTTTTGCAATCAAAGAGAAAAGCACATATTCAAACCACCCGTCACAAATAAAAGAGAAACATAGTTTACTCAATCGTTACCGACATGAAAAGCACATACACAGGGTATAGATTTGAATATAGCATAAGTGATCGATTTCCATATTACAAAGTTATTGCTGTTGTGTAGCTCATTGAATATTTCAAACACAAATAGTCTGGTCAAGAAAGACAGTGTGGAGCCAGTAACATCAATCCACCTTATCATAATGTTCTATGTTGCAACAATGTCTGCCCTTATCTCAGATGCATAGCCCTATTTGTATTTAATTGTGGGTGTTAAGATCGGTCATAAATAAAGTCATATTTTTCAATAACGGCCTCGGTTATCAGCTGATGCTTCACAGAACCACAGCAATCTGACGTTGTGACCCACAAGGCCAGCTACTATCTCGAGATAGCGATGCATTTTTACATTTGATGCATTTTTATTTCCGCTTGTCTTATCTGCAAGGTTGCTGCAAACTGTTGCTAGGCACTTGTGTGGAAATTCACTTCGTGTTGTGACCTAAATTTTCTTGGAGGTATTTAAAATTTGTATTGTAGTAGATTGGGAAGCTTTTGTCATAATACTAAGTGCGTTGTTAATTGATGAATATGGTGAAAATTAGAGTATTAAAGTTATATGTATATACTGACAAAGTAAAACTAAAAGGGCAACTTAAAATAAACAATAGAATCTTGTATGTTACACATACAATCAAAAGTATCGAAAAATAAAAGAGAAAATTTAAAATCACACCTTTATAATAACTGGCTCTTTGAGCGGCTCTGTCAACAATGTTTAAATTGAATGAAACTGTAGCCACGCCAACAATATTTGGAAGATGGCAATTTTCAAAAGCAGATCACTAAACTAACATATTGCCTGTGAAAGTTTTAATATTTAAGAAAAATGTAATCATGTTAAACAATCGTGGTTCCTTTACCACGTTTTTGAACGCATGAAACTCGAACTCGTCAGATAAGAAACCTAATTAATTCAAACAAATTAGAGAGCGTATAAGGTAACAAGTAAATGAAAATTTTCGGTGTTGCTTATTACAATACGCATTATCATGCTATCTCACGAATAATTAATTGATGTTTTCGGGAGCCGTGTGATCACGAGTTGCAAAATCCTGCCAACATTTCCCGCTAGTGAAAGTGAGGACTCTCACTAAGGAAAGTGTCCTGGTTGTTCCACTTGCGGCAGTCACCAGCTGACGTCACCTGCTTGCTTCCGTCCTTTGGTGTTGACATGGAAGATGTGGATATGGTGTTTGAAGATAATGAAGCGGCTTTAGTTGCCCTAGTTGTTTAGGTTTTCAAGTCTTGCAAACAAAGAAAGTGTTCCACTTTTTATTAGCTGACGTCATCGGATTCTTGCTTCTATACTTGGAGGAATTGAAGCAGGAGATGTAAATACGGAGGTTGAATGTATAGATAGTTAGTATATTCCATTACACCCAATTCAGGTTTTATAATTTACACGTACCAAGATGGTGTAGGCATACTGGTGTATCTTCTTGTGGGTGTTGTATCAGGTATCGTCTTGCCTGTTTCCGATTCTTCAGTGATGGTGACATTAAATGTGTCGACACCATTGAAGGAAAATGTTAAAATCCTGTAGTTGGCGATATTTTTAAGTTTTGGACATCTCATATTTTGGTAATCACCTGTTGTTCCTTTTGTGGCAGTTTCACCAGCTAACACAATCCAAAGCTTAATTATGTCCTTGAGTGAAGTTTATATGGAAGTGGAAGATTGAAGATAGCCTATTTCGCCCAGTTCAGTGTTTTAAGATATGTATATTCCGAGAAAGTGTCGTACCACATTTGGCCGTTACCTTTTGACATAAGCTTCCTTCCATCCTTGAAATAAAGACGGCAGAATGAAAAATTTGAATACGGATGTTGGATATTGAAGAATCCCTTTTTGGTCTAGTTGTCGGAATTTTGTAGTGTAGAAACCAATGTTATAGGTGTAGGTGAATAGGTTGTAGGAGTAGGAATGGTATCAAGAAAGTGTCCTGTTTAATTTTGTCATCACCAGGTGACATCATCGACCAGTTGCTTTCATTCTTAAGTGATGTTGAAATGGAAGATTTCATGGATACGGATGTTGACAATAATTGACGAAGGGCCTCCGTTTGGCCTAGTTTATCAGGATTACTTTGGCAGATCCCAAGAAAGTCTTTGATGGATGTATGGAGTGTGATGACACTAGAAAACACCATTAGCGTGGATTTACCCATGATGTTAAATATGAGTCAAACGCCTCTGCTTACTTATTAGAAGGATTAACAATGTTTCACAGTGGTCTGTATTCTCGTACGTGAACCATTTTCTCTTTATAGATTTCTCATCCTAATTTGCATAGCTAAAGATTACGTCATGAATGAAGTTCGTTATGAAGAGTGTTTTGAAGTTATTGCTTCTACTTGGCCAGCTCAAAAACTATTACGACCAAATAGACTGCTTTATTTTCATGTCTTCTGGTATTATTATATCTAAAAAATAAAAGGGCAAACAGTACCATATACCCTAAGTATTAGAGAAATATTGAGTCGTGGAAGTGTTATAAGTTACGGATATAAAATTTGCATAATACAATCCTTAAGTTGTTTCAATAGGCTAAAAGAAGTAATTGAATTATTGAATGAATTAGACTTTTATCATTACGGTTGGAATTTAGCAGCCAGTTTTATAGTAGCACTGAGTTTAGTGTTATAAAGTCTATAGAATAGAATATCAGGACCGTTTAGAGATGCATAGTTTGCTGAAAAAAGGAATTCATCACTGTTTTATATGGATCAAACCCATTCGACGAATTCATGATTAAAATAACTATGTTTCGTCTGTTTCGAATTTATTAAAAAATTCTTTACACACCTAAGACAGGGCACTAATTACTAAATAGGCGTGTATAACAATGTAAAAAACAAACCAACGTTAAACAAAGTATAAATGTATATTTGTAATTTACATAATTGAAATATACAGTACATGACAATCACAGGGGTATAAAAAGTAAAATATTCTTTTTTCATCCTCCAGCCTTGATTCATCTATTCTTTGCCTACAAATTAGTCAGATTCGTCTTCAATTCTTCACGAAAGCACTCTTCCATTCTCGGTTCTTCATTTGTCTTGTGCCATAACACAGACAACGTGTTCTCCTCGCATGAACAGCTGTGGAATATGTCTTTCGCATTCTTCAGTCTTTGGTGTCGAACTGCGTATTACAACCTTGATAGTAGGCACTTCCACGTCGTCTCCTGGACCTGTAAAACGCAGGGAGTAAATAAAATACTCTGGTTAAAGAAAATGGAACGTCAGTGCTGAATCAAAATGCCATGCCACAAAAAATACTTTGGGGTTCCGTTGAGAAATATTCAGAAATTACATTTAGTAGCATAGATGTTAACCACAAAAAAGCTTAACATGGTTCAACACCTTAATGACTCTGCCTCACAATTTCAGATACCTATGAATTACTTTCCATTGAGCTGATGTACAGTTTTTGTGATATCAACTGGTTTAATTTAGTCGATAACCCGATGGAGACTTAAAAATTAAAGAGTAATTTTTTGCTTTTCTCTGGGTAGCTTTCAAATGCTTAGTAAGAAAAATTAGAACCCTATTTCAGCATGACAAATAAGTTAGCTGTCATTGAATGAAATTATGTTTGATGAGCTTTGTCTAGAGACACAAATACATAATCAGTTCTTGAACTATGCACAGTATCGGTAAAATATTAATATCAGTATGGATAGGTAAAATGGGTCAAAATAACCTACAAGGAACATTCCTGAGCAAATAAAATTCTACTTAGCTTGTGTACAAACCTAAATCAAGTCTTTAATGTCTTTAGAGCAGAACTAATAAAGGACCAATAGTTGTAAACAACAATAGCCCACGTAGGAAGTACATCTGATGTCGCATTGTTCTCGACTAATGAACGATGACTGGAGAAAATGTTTAATTATACTGGACGATATTAAGACAAACAATTCAACTGACGATGAGATGGCGAGGCTACATGCATTAGCAGAAATGTTACACTATGCTCAAAACGTACGCGATGGCAAGATGATCAAATCATCGTTGAGCTGTTACTGAAGTTTGATGGGAAAGGACTAAATCAAATTATATTTAGGTCTATAGCAAACTTGAGGCCAGAACCATTGATTTAACATCCACTTACTAAACAACTGCAGATATCTTAAGGTGTTTTTCTCTCCGGTAGGTAGATCGATTCATAATAGAAAAAGATGTACATTCTGTATACTTTTTTTTTTGAAAAAAAATTCTGTATAAATTTTAAGTATGTTTAAAAAAATTCTGTATAAATTTTAAGTATGTTTAAAAGCTTCAATCGAGGTAAAGTCAGCATAGAACAAAATGGAAATTTCAGACCAATCAGCCTACACTTTACATACGTTTCCTTTAGACATAGAGGTTAAATGTGTAATAGGAAATATAAATACCCCCGCCGCAGCAAACCTGCAGACTTAGCGAATTTCCATTTGCCTGATTGGATTTAAACTAAAATGTCTCCTTAAAAATATCACGTTTATGGACTATTTAAACAGAATTAGTTTAATGAGTACTTAGGTTTGCTGCAACAGGGAGGGTAAAAAGTTTTTTTTTATGTAAAATGTTAAAAGGTACTGTGGTTTAGTAAGAAATTAATGTATTTTCAAAATTTGATCAAGATATGTTCATAAACAAGCAAACTACAACAGTTGACTTATTCTCCATAAGAATAACATGGGAATTTTAAAATTGCAATTTTTTTGAATTTTCTCCGCAACAATTAGGCGCATAATAACGCTTCAATATACTAAATTATTTGTTTTTTTAAGCTCTACAAAATGGTTTAAAAAGAAATTGTGAAATTTTGTGTTTTTAGGGTCAAAAATGGGAAAAACCTATTTTTACCCCATAAAACCCCCCATAAACCCCCATTCCCATAGTCCGATCATGCTGGTTCGCGAACTCATTCAAGTTTATCCCGCCTTACACCTTCAAACCAAATTTTATCAAAATCGGACAAAAATTACTCAAGTTATCGTGCGGATGGACACACATATATATATATATATATATCTATATATAGATATATAAAAATTTAAACGAATGGTGTTTTTGGCCTCTGGGGACATCAAAATGAAAAAGTAAATCGGTCCCGGCCTTAAGTCTTACCATGAGACCTACGGTAATAGCTACTTCCCTATAGGGAAATTCGCTAAAAGAAAGGTACCAGTATACATTCAAACTTATAATATTTTTGACCCGGTTTCGAAGTCAACATGTACACTTTGAGACGAGAACTGTGTTGGTTAGTGAAAAAAACACGAGACAAAACAAAAGAAAGTATATTGTAGAACAGAACGCAGAGATCAACTTGGCACAATGACGGCCTCAACCAGGAAGGTCAACACAAGGCAACATGAGGCTCTAGGCTACGGTAGAAGAGGGAGGGGGAAGTCTAGGCTGCTATCATACCGTACAAGATGTTGGCAAAGGTTAGTGGTGAGGGTCAAACAGACAACAGTCATAGTCGTACCTAGTACCTACAAGAGAGAATTGTTCTCAAATGTGCGATAGCATTTTTCAATTATTTCGATTTGCTTCTTTGTTCAAGTATTATTGCTGTTGATGGTGTAAAATTGTAGCAGTGTATTCTATCTTGACTATGGTTTCATTATTACTTGAGTGGTGAGTTGTTTAAATGATTTATCCATTATCAAACGATGCGGACCATTACCAACACTGATTAGTAAAGAACATATCATGATAGAGCATATTATGATGTAACACATCGTGATATTATGATTATCACAAAGTTCAGGGATACATATTATGATTTCAGATTACATGGAACCTAAAACATGGCATGACTTAAAAATGCCAAACTAAAGAAATTAAATAGTGATGAAAGAAAATAAAATAAATTATATATTTCACACGATTACAACAGGATTCGTCCAAGAACGCGAGCATTATAGCTTTTAAAACATTATGGAAACAGCTACGTAGGTATATTGACCTCATGGATGGGATTTTACAAAACCTTAGACCTCAAAGATAAATTGGCATTATGAGTATTTTTGGCTTCCTCTTTAAGGTAAATGTGAGAAAGTACAAAATCCGAAAATCACACTTTAAAAATGGTATAGAAATTGTAGAATTATTATGGAAGAAGAAATAGTGGAAAAACAGTCCGTGTCTATAACCCTAGTTCTATAAAAAAATTTAAGAATGGTTTGTAATAAGTGTGTATAGTGTATATATTTTAAGTAAAAATTTAAGGGTTAAAAGTTGCAAAGGGAACCATACAAATAGGTGATATTCCTTAAATGTCTAAAAATACTGCAAAAAGACTATTTCCAGTCAGTTTAAAGACCACTGCAATTTAGCTCTCATTTGACAGCTAAAAACCATACCAACATAAGTGTTTTCTAGGTAGACCAATGGAAATTAAAATTTCAAAACATATTTCATTACTGACGTCATCAAGATCAAAACAGTTTAGATTCCTCTCATCTAAAAATGGGAAAAAATCGAGGCGATAACATTTCATAACAAAATATGTTAGGCAATTATCAAACACAACTGTTACTCATCAAACCGTTCCCTAACAATTGATCCGGGAGTTTATTTCTACTGACAGCCCACGCTGTCCTGATTCGCTAATCCTCAAGCTGGAGACAAGAGTTACCACTCGAAGTTAGGAACGGCCAAGGCCTTCTCGATATAGCCGACAGACCTTGGTGGCGTGATTTAAGTTGTGTTTTGTGCAAGTTGCGCCGTGGCTCAGTCCCAGGGGATAAATCTTCCCGCCTTAGTCTAGCGACAAGACTATGTCTCCGGCCTCCTGGATAACAGGGATATTTGTGGAAAAATGAGACCACCACTACCATTTGAAACACCTTTAATGGTTTTGAGAGTCCATAGGAAGCTTTAACTCAAAAGACTTTGTATTTTCCAAAAGTATTGCTGTAATATGTGATGAACCTTGATCAAAAATATTTGCATCGTCAATTTAGTTCGGAAGGTACAATCAAGATCCACTACACATTAGGGTATATTTGTAAGTTCCATCAACATTGGTTTTACTTGGTCTTTTCAATACAGTCTAGCTTTTTCATCTAAAGAGACACCAAAGGGAACCACAATTATCTCGGAATATGATGGATATCTAGGTTCACCAACTTATAAAATAAACTATTCTACAGACAATGATCAACCACACGTCCATAGGATGAGTCAGTTTAGTATCACCACTGACTTGAATCTATATTTTGGCCCTTCATACAAAGCTTGTGTATTTATTCTTCTCAAACAATCTCTAGAACATACACTTACAGCATATTTGAAGATTTAAAACTTTGGAGGGATACTGAAAGAAGACATAAACAATGATTGACATCGGAGATGCATATGATGTGAGTCAGCAACGGTTGACGCACCGCCAGCTCATAGGACTGTTGATGGATTCAAATGGAAATTCCCTTGACCTACAAAGGGTTCCGAACTTAGCAAACAATGGGGAATCGATTAGGAAACACCATACAAACTGAATGCATCGTATTTGGATGCAAAAACGTATGTAATGTCTAGTTATGTGAGTTTAAGGCAATTGATGTTAATAATTCACTAGGTGAAGATTTTCAAAATTTTGGAGCGACTTTTTGAGAGCAGACTTTAAATTAATATTCACCATGACCCATACTATGAAATGAAATTCACAAGAAGATTAAATAAAGATATGTTAAACAAACAAACAATTTGCCAAATCCTTCAATGGATCTTTACTATGTTAAACATACAAATTTTAGTTGGGCCTATTTGTAACAATTGTTGCTACAGCTATTAACTTCTAACTAGTTTCAACATACCAGAGCTTGTAGAAGGAAAGGAAAAAATGCGCTTCTTCGGTCTACTATCGATATCTCTACTACAGTAGTTGTTAAGGGTTTCAAGGTCACCAATGTTTATCAGTGTTTAAGTGTTATCTCAGTTTTTTTTACGCACTTAAAGGAACACAAGAAGATAGTGCTTGTCACGTTTGTGGAGGATTCCTTTAAACGCTCACCTTGGCGATAGAAATGTGTAAATCATGATTCCGAAGTAGTTGATTTTGCACAAGTTTTCCTTGGTCATAGAAAATGTTAGTGTCTCTTAAACATTTAATTTTATAGAACACCTCATCTAAACTTTGGTGCATTTACAAAATTTCAAAAATTAACAGAATATAGCTTCAGGAGTAAACTTG